GTAGATTGCTTTGGGTGGTACAGTCATTTTCACAATGTTGATTCTTCCAATCCAAGAACATGGTATATCTCTCCATCTGTTTGTATCATCTTTAATTTCTTTCATCAGTGTCTTATAGTTTTCTGCATACAGGTCTTTGTCTCCTTAGGTAGGTTTATTCCTAGGTATTTTAATTTTTATGTTGCAATAGTAAATCGAAGTGTTTCTTTAATTTCTCTTTCAGATTTTTCATCATTAGTGTATAGGAATGCAGGAGATTTCTGTGCATTAATTTTGTATCCTGCTACTCTACGAAATTCATTAATTAGCTCTAGTAGTTTTCTGGTAGCATCTTTAGGATTCTCTATGTATAGTATCATGTCATCTGCAAACAGTGACAGTTCTTCTTTTCTGCTTTGGATTCCTTTTATTTATTTTTCTTCTCTGATTGCTGTGGTTAAAACTTCCAAAACTATGTTGAATAATAGTGGTGAGAGTGGGCAACCTTGTCTTGTTCCTGATCTTAGAGGAAATGGTTTGAGTTTTTCACCATTGAGAATGATGTTGACTATGGGTTTGTCATATATGGCCTTTATTATGTTAAGGTAGGTTCCTTGTATGTCTACTTTCTGGAGAGTTTTTATCATAAATGGGTGTTGAATTTTGTCAAAAGCTTTTTCTGCATCTATTGAGATTATCATATGGTTTTTATCCTTCAATTTGCTAATATTGTTTATCACATTGATTGATTTGCATATATTGAAGAATCCTTGCATTCCTGGGATAAACCCCACTTGATCATGGTGTATGATCCTTTTAATTGTGCTGTTGGATTCTGTTTGCTAGTATTTTGTTGAGGATTTTTGCATCTGTGTTCATCAGAGATATTGGCTGTAGTTTTCTTTTTTTGTGATATCGTTGTTTGGTTTTGGTATCAGGGTGATGGTGGCCTCGTAGAATGAGTTTGGGAGTGTTCCTTCCTCTGCTATATTTTGGAAGAGTTTGAGAAGGATAGGTGTTAGCTCTTCTCTAAATGTTTGATAGAATTCGCCTGTGAAGCCATCTGGTCCTGGGCTTTTGTTTGTTGGAAGATTTTTAATCACAATTTCAATTTCAGTGCTTGTGTTTCGTCTGTTTATATTTTCTGTTTCTTCCTGGTTCAGTCTTGGAAGGTTGTGCTTTTCTAAGAATTTGTCCATTTCTTCCAGGTTGTCCATTTTATTGGCATAGAGTTGCTTGTAGTAATCTCTCATGATCCTTTGCATTTCTGCAGTGTCAGTTGTTACTTCTCCTTTTTCATTTCTATTTCTGTTGATTTGAGTCTTCTCCCTTTTTTTCTTGGTGAGTCTGGCTAACGGTTTATCAATTCTGTTTATCTTTTCAAAGAACCAACTTTTAGTTTTATTGATCTTTGCTATCGTTTCCTTCATTTCTTTTTCATTTTTTTTTGATCTGATCTTTATGATTTCTTTCCTTCTGCTAACTTTGGGGGTTTTTTGTTCTTTCTCTAATTGCTTTAGGTGTAAGGTTAGGTTGTTTGAGATTTTTCTTGTTTCTTGAGGTAGGATTGTATTGCTATAAACTTCCCTCTTAGAACTGCTTTTGCTGCATCCCATAGGTTTTGGGTCATTGTGTTTTCATTGTCATTTGTTTCTAGGTATTTTTTTATTTCCTCTTTGATCTTTTCAGTGATCTCTTGGTTATTTAGTAGTGTATTGTTTAGCCTCCATGTGTTCGTATTTTTTACAGATTTTTTCCCTGTAATTGATATCTAGTCTCATAGGTTGTGGTCAGAAAAGATACCTGATACAATTTCAATTTTATTAAATTTACCAGGGCTTGATTTGTGACCCAGGATATGATGTATCCTGGAGAATGTTCTATGAGCACTTGAGAAGAAAGTATTCTGTTTGTTTTTGGATGGAATATCATATAAATATCAATTAAGTCCATCTTGTTTAATGTGTCATTTAAAGCTTGTGTTTCCTTATTTATTTTCATTTTGGATGATCTGTCTATTGGCGAAAGTGGGGTTTTAAAGTCCCGTACCATTATTGTGTTACTGTCGATTTCCCCTTTTATGGGTGTTAGCATTTGCCTTATGTATTGAGGTGCTCCTGTGTTGGGTGCATATATATTTACAATTGTTATATCTTCTTCTTGGATTGATCCCTTGATCATTATGTAGTGTCCTTCTTTGTCTCTTGTAATAGTCTTTATTTTAAAGTCTGTTTTGTCTGATATGAGAATTGCTACTCCAGCTTTCTTTTGATTTCCATTTGCATGGAATATCTTTTTCCATACCCTCACTTTCAGTCTGTATGTGTCCCTAGGTCTGAAGTGGGTCTCTGTAGACAGCATACGTATGGGTCTTGTTTTTGTATCCATTCAGCCAGTCTATGTCTTTTGATTGGAGCATTTAATCCATTCACGTGTAAGGTAATTATCGATATGTATGTTCCTATTACCATTTTCTTAATTGTTTTGGGTTTGTTTTTGTAGTTTTTTTCCTCCTCTTGTGTCTCCTGTCTGGAGTAGTTCCTTTAGCATTTGTTGTAAAGCTGGTTTGGTGGTGCTGAATTCTCTTAACTTTTGCTTATCTGTAAAGGTTTTAATTTCTCCATTGAATCTGAATGAGATCCTTGCTGGGTAGAGTAACCTTTGTTGTAGGTTTTTCCCTTTCATCACTTTAAGTATGTCCTGCCACTCCCTTCTGGCTTGCAGAGTTTCTGCTAAAAAATCATCTGTTAACCTTATGGGGATTCCCTTGTATGTTCTTTGTTGCTGTTCCCTTGATGCTTTTAATATTTTTTCCTTTGTATTTAATTTTTGATAGTTTGATTAGTTTGTGTCTCGGCATGTTTCTCTTTGGGTTTATCCTGTATGGTACTCTCTGCGCTTCCTGGACTTGATTGACTATTTCCTATCCCATGTTAGCGAAGTTTTTGACTATAATCTCTTCAAATATTTTCTCAGACCCTTTCTTTTTCTCTTCTTCTTCTGGGACCCCTATAATTCAAATGTTGGTGCATTTAATGTTGTCCCAGAGGTCTCTGAGACTGTCCTCAATTCTTTTCATTCTTTTTTCTTTATTCTGCTCCCTGGAGGTTATTTCCACCCTTTTATCTTCCAGGTCACTTATCCGTTCTTCTGCCTCAGTTATTCTGTTATTAATTCCTTCTAGGGTATTTTTAATTTGAGTAGTTGTGTTATTCATCACTGTTTGTTTGCTCTTTAATTCTTCTAGATCCTTGTTAAATGTTTCTTGTATTTTCTCCATTCTGTTTCTGAGATTTTGGATCATCTTTACTATCATTACTCTGAATTCTTTGTCCGGTATGTTGCATATTTCGTCTTCATTTATTTGGTCTTGTAGGTTTTTACCTTGCTCCTTTGTCTGGAACATATTTTTTTGTCGTTATATATATATTTTTTGATGGGTGGTGCTGTATTCCTGTCTTACTGGTTGTTTGGCCTGAGATGTCCAGCAGTGGAGTTGGCAGGCAGTTGGATACAGCTGGGTCTTGGTGCTGAGACGAAGACCTCCTGGAGGCCTGGCTCCAATTGATATTCCCTGGGGTCTGAGGTTCTCTGTTAGTCCAGTGGTTTGGACTCCAAGCTCCCACCACGGGAGCTCGGGCCTGACCTCCAGCCTGGGAACCAGGATCCTGCAAGCTTCATGGCACATTAAAAAAAAAAAAAAAGAAAAAAAAAAAAAAAAAAAGAAGAAGAACAATAAAAAAAAAAAAAAAAAACAAAAAAAAAAAAAAAAAAAAAAAGGGGGGGGGGGGGCAACAAGCCAGGAGGAGAGATCACTAACGAAGTATAAAGAATAAAATAAAATTAGAAAAATAAAAGGTTTATTAGGAAAAACAAAAATCTAAAAGAATCAATGACAGTGACTCAACAAGGTAAAATGGAACCCCAATCTAAAAGAGGACAAAAGAAAAAGAAAAAAAAAAAAAAAAGCCTTGGCTATGAGGGTGGAGTTCTGGTGAAGGTGGAATAGGCAGGGGTGGGGTTTAGGGTGGGGCGTGACCTAGGTGGGTGGGGGGTGACGTTTGAGCGTGGGGTGGGGCCTCTGCTTAGGGTGGAAGGGGAGAGGCAGCACGTGGAATGGAGGGCGTCTGCAGTGTGGAGCTAAGGAGTTTGGAGGTAGGGCCCTGATTGGGGGTGTGTGGGTGGGGTTTAGACCCAGCGCATTGGGGCAGGTCTCAGAGGGGGTCTTTGAATGTAGGGGTGTGGCTTGGGCTCTGCACAGCAGGAGGGAGGCTGGGAGGGCAGAGGATCAGGCTGGGCTTCTGGAGGCCCAAGTGGGCAGGGGAGACCTGGCCTCGCTCCCTCTTGATCCTTTGCCCTCCCAACGGTCCCCCAATTTCCCCTTTCGGGTGTGGGTTCCCTTCCCCTCCCCCAGGCGCCCCTTAGGGGAGCCAATCCTGTCCCACCTCTGCTTCTCCTTCCCCCTCACTCCCCCCACTTCCTGCCGGTCGTTGAGGGTTCCTCCCGTCCTCTTAGGTGTCCATGGGTCCCCACCGGTGCCTGGTAGGTGCCCTAGTTGTGTGGAGACGCAAATTCCGAGTCCTCCTAGTACGCCATCTTGACTCCGCCCCCAGTGTTCCACGTTTTTAAGAAGTGACTTCAGCCAACTTAAAGGGTGGTGAGAATCCTGAGGATACCCCAGACCAGGTTGATATTGTTGGAGAGTTAACACCCTGAAACACTTGAGGGCTTTAGGAACGTGGGGACAGCTGACTGCTGAGTGAGTGGGGTGGGCGAGAGGCTGATTTCCCGCCCATTAGCCACGCCCAGTTCCGAGCTCCACGCGGCTCGATGGGGCTTAAACCCAGGCTGTGACTGGACTCGGTGACCACTGCCGTGTGGGCGCAAGAGAAGCCCTCCCCTGGGCCGGGCAGCTCAGCCCGTTCTGTGCCTCTGGAGGTGACAGACGTGAAGACCCCAGAATCTGAGCAGCGAGGGGGCTGCACAGACACGGTGTCTCCTGTGCGTCTCCCTCCCTGCAGTTTGAGTTCATGATCGAGTCCATCCTCTATGCCCGGGACGCGTGGCTGAAGGAGGACGGGGTCATCTGGCCGACCACGGCCGCGCTGCACCTGGTGCCCTGCAGCGCCGACAGGGACTACCGCAGCAAGGTGCTCTTCTGGGACAACGCCTACGAGTTCGACCTCAGTGCCCTCAAGTGAGTGTCACCGGGCGCTCCCGGGCTGCGGGAGCATGCGGGGCGGGCTGCAGGTCTCAGAGCTGCCACCGTGCTGAGCTCACTTTGCTCACGTGACTAAGAAGTTTGCACGTTGCCTTACAGGTCTTTAAACCAACAGATGTGATGGGAAATTGAAGTGTCCCATTTATAAGACCCCAAATATAATGGGAAAAATAAAGTCATGTTTATAAATGCGTGGGCTGTTAAAACAAATGGATGTTCCCACTAAGAGCCGTAACTTTTTAACAGGAGTCAGAAAATGTGTTAGTGAAGGCATCGCTGGCATTTGGCAAAGAAAGCGGTGCTCCACAAAAGTTCAGTTCCTCGTGTGTAACATACGTCAGGCTTGTGGTAGAGCTTCAGGTTTTAACATAAAACAGTCTTCTCTCAAGGCCTTCATGGTTGTCACATTGCCTCCTCTGAGAAGGATAGTGACACGTGTCGGCTGCGTCCCCTCTGAGGTGCCGTGGGACGTGGGCAGGAGAGACCCAGCAGCAGCCCTGGAATTAGGGAAGGGCCCCTTTGTCAGAGGCAGAAAGAAGCTTCTGTTCAATGAGCCTGGACACCTGCTAAGTGTCCAGCTGGGGAGTTGGCAGCAAGATGGGGGCCTCTGGGCCTTTTTGTTTTTTGTTAAAAAACTCAAAAAAAGAAAATGTATCAACATAAAGGTATGGAATCTTCCCTAGTCAATGTACTCTCAACCCAAATCCCAAAGGGGTTGGAGAGGAAGGGTCTCCAACAGAGTCGTTCCGTGGTTCATGTAGGACTAATGTGTGGGAAGGGCTGGGAAGGTTTGAAAAGAGCAGGGGGTGGGGGTGGGGTGTGGTTTCTCATGCTGCCCGAATTAACGCTCCGTAATGAAAGCGACAAGGAAAGATGGAGGAAGCTCTGAACACGGTCTGTGGTGTCCGGAAAAGGCGCACCGTGAACTGGAGGGTGGGGGGATAACGTGCTGAGGCCGCACGTTATCCGGGACACTGGTTGGCCCCTTGGAGGAGATGTCTGTTCTCCTCTCACACCATTCGTTAACATTTAATTTCCCGTGGATTCCGTGTTCTCTGGGTGTGTGCTGAGACCCCGCGAGTAGGACACTGAGGGTCCCCGGAGGGCTGGCCGTCTCAGCCCCGCCTCTCGCCCGGTGAGTTAGAATTCCTGCTGACGCAGAGGAGGCGTGATAGCCTGAGATGTGGGTAAATGATATTGAGCAAAATTACTTTGACTTTTCCCCAGATCTTTAGCAATTAAGGAGTTTTTTTCGAAGCCCAAGTATAACCACATTTTGAAACCAGAAGACTGTCTCTCTGAGCCATGCACCATATTACAGCTGGACATGAGAACCGTGCAGATCGCCGACCTCGAGGTGAGAAGAGGTGACCCTTCCTCCCTGTTCAAATAAACAAGTTAAACTTGTTGCTATTGATTTTCCCACAGTCTTTTTTTTTTCCTATTCTGATTTTGTTTTTTGTATTTTTAGGTTATTTTCTTTATAGTTAACCTCTTTAACGTCTTCAGTTACTTTTAGATTTATGTCTAATATTCTCAGCATCTTCAGATTCAAATAAATTATATGTTTCATCATGGAATTTGAATTAAATCTTTTTTCTAAGTTTTTTTAACTCCCATTGATGAGAAAATTCTTAAAATTCTTTTACTTACCCTCTGTGGCCACGAGGTGGCGTGTGTGGGCTCCGGACGACCCCATTATAAGGGCTGCTCTGAGGTGGAGGAAGCCCCTTCTGGAGCTTAGATGGGCAAAACCACGTGCAAACTGAACTTTTGACGCTTTAGTTAGTTTGGGGATTGTAGAGACTCAGTCTGGAGCTTTATATTTGTACAAAGAATTGAGAAAAGGAAGTATTCCACCTGAATTTGGGGACAGAAAATTAGGCAGATGAGACCCAAATTGCTCAAAACCTTTTCTGATTATCTGCAGCCTTTGAGTTCAGGATGCAGGTTTTAACATTTACTTTCCCTAGGAGGAGATATGGTTTTTGATGTGTTCAGCTAAACTAGCAAGTTACAGATTTGTGGCATAACTACTGCAATAGACGGCGTGGCTGCCTGGGGCAGTGTGCTGTGGGATTCGGGACGGAGCCCCATGGAGGCGGGAGCTGCTTCCCGGTCCCCAGCGCCCTTTTCTGACTCATTTGCTTGAACACAGATGATGAAAGGTGAGCTGCACTTTGACATCAAGAAGGCAGGCACCCTCCACGGATTCACAGCCTGGTTCAGTGTCCGGTTCCAGAACCTGGAGGAGGATGAGCCACAGCTGGTGCTGAGCACGGGCCCGCTGCACCCGTGAGTGTGCCCCTCCTTCTCCTGGGGCAGCACACAAAGCCTGGCAGAGCCACGAGTTTCAAGATCTAGTAATATCGGGAGTGGGCCCAAATCTCTCCAGACGCGGTTGAGCCCTGGCCCAGGGGCGGGAGGGCTGGCGGTGAGTCCAGGTTGCCCCCCCTGGCATCGGGCTTCCTCGGGGCCGGGGTCAGGGGTCCCTGACACCCTGGATGGTCAGGCTTCACCTTCTCTCCGTGGCCCCAAACGCTGCTGCAGCTCTTCACCATCTGACACAGAAACAGCCCACAGGGTTCCAGGGGCTTTTACTCCGACTTCTGGGGAAGGCAGATATTTCCCGAGATGCATCTTCTGAGCAGTAAGGTTTCGAGTCTGCACGCTTGCTCCTGCGTGTGGGGAAGCGCACCTTGTCTGTCGTGCTGCCGGACACAGTGGCCCCTCGGGGGGGCGCCACCTTCATTCAGGGACTTCCGCTGCCCCTTTCAGGGACGGCCCCAATGCTCCCCTGCACCGTGTGATCGGCAGAAGTGAGCAAGGCCCAGGGAGGGGCGCAGATGCCTGAGTCAGACACCCCGCGGTCTTGGGGCCCAGGGGTCCTCAGCGTCCTTTGTGGAAGTCGAGCAGGAGAGCGAGCTGCCTGGCCAGAGCCTCCTTCCAGGGCCCGCAGGAGAGGGGCCTCAGGGGCCCCCACGAACTGTGTGTGCCCGGTGTTTCCCACCTGAGCGTCCGCGTGGGGTCATCCACACACAGGTGGCATGGGGACGGGATGGGGGGCAGGGCGTGGGCCAGGGAGGGAGACCCCCATCACGGTGGCTGAGGGGGTGGCCCAGCGTCAGGGAGGATGTGACACGAAGGGGAGACACAGCAGAACCTCACTGCGGGGTGTGACCTGGGTCCTTTCAGGCGCTTGGGTGTGAGAGTCACAGGACTTACAGAATCCGGGGTGTCACTGCTCCCCCAAATGCTGCACTTGTTTGCTCACACTCAGCTGAACCTTCACAGGAATTATGACTTTTTTTGGACACGATTTCAGCAGCATGTATCTCACTTTAACTGCAGAAACTAGAACCGTGGGCGTCAGCAGTTCAGAGAAGGTGGCTTTGGGTGGGCACTGCCGTGCCAGCTCGTGGAGGCTGGGTCGACCCCACGAGGGGCTGGGGACAGGCGGCCCCTGGGGACCTGGGTCTGGCCACGTGCCCCTGAGGCCCAGCCTCCTTGGCACCAGGGAGTCTGTGCAGCGTCCAGGAGGCCCCCCGGGTTGTGGGTCCACGTGGGTCCCATGAAGCCGTCTGATCACAGGGTGGGGGCATGGCAGTCCCCATGGGCTCCCTGAGGGGTGACACCACGCCCCTGTCTTGCAGCACCACCCACTGGAAGCAGGTGCTGTTCATGATGGACGAGCCCGTGTCCGTCCTCGCGGGAGACGTGGTCACAGGCTCAGTGGTGTTGCAGAGAAACCCCGTGTGGAGACGGCACATGTCTGTCACTCTGAGCTGGTCCGTCACTTCTAGACAAGACCCCGGGTCACAGAAAGTAAGATATTTAGCTGTGGAGTCACGGGCTGTGGTGCCAGTCCGGGCAGCTGGTGGGTCTGTGGCGGTTGCAGCGGCAGATGCCTAGTCCCACCCGGCGGACCCCGTGGCCAGAGCTGGGGCCGAGGGCCGGGCCATGGTGCAGCCTCGCTCCCCCCGCATGCCTTGCCGTGGGCAATGTGGACGTGCGGTGGAGTCGTGTTCTGGCCGTGGCAGCAGTTAGAGGGCTGAAGTGAGCATGTGGCCAGGCGGGGCCTTAGGGCTCACGGCTCACAAATCCCACGGGAAATCCTCCTCTTCAGACTTAGGGTTAATGCAGGAGAGGGAAGAAAATAATCAAATGGTTTCCCTTTATTTTGTAGTACCTGTTTTGCGCTTTGCTTTATGCTGATTTACGTTAAAAAAGTTGAAATGTTTGTTGTTGTAAGTCTGCACCTGGATACCAGACTCTTGTCCACTATTAAATTATTATTAGGAAATACTGTGTGTTAATCAAACTGAAATGATTTATCATCTGATTGGTTTGTTTTCTTTGTCTTTCTCAGGTTGGAGAGAAAGTCTTTCCCATCTGGAGATGACAGGTGCAGCTCTGTGCGGGATGCAGCGTTGTGGAGGGACAGACGCGACTCAGTGGCGTCGGCCCTGGACGGGAACGCGTGTCCTGTGGAAGTTGCGGACTTGCACCAGGATGGGGTGGTAACACCCTTACACGAGGGCGCGGGGCCGCGGGCCCTCCCCAGATGCGCCCATGCTCCTCGGGGTCCACGCTCGCCATTGTCACTGTCCTGCCTGTCCTTAGAACTGGGCTGTGTTTCCAGGTGTCCACCTGTGGGTAGTTGATGGCCCAGTGTCCCTCAGCCAGGTCTAGTTCTAAGCTCGTAGGACACTCTCGTCAACCCTGTGCTCCTGTGAAGGTGGCTGTTCGTGCGTCGTGTGTGCGTGTCCTTCCCGCCCTCGGCTCACCCACTCAGCTCGTGGGATGTGGGGTCACATAGAGCCTCGTGGGAGCCTGAGGTGCGATGCATGCGATGGGGCTCTGCATGGGGTAGTCCACTTGTAGAGACGTCTTCCAGATAAATTATGTGTCGGCACATAGTACATGCTCAATAAATATTTTTTAATAAATGAATGTTGGTGTATATCCTGGTTCTGTGCACATACATTATTTTGCAAAAGCACGGATCATACTGTGTGCATTGCTCTGTAACCTTTCTCATCTAATATTATGAAGAAACTTTCATGCCAGTAGGTACATGTCTGCATTTTTAGGTGTGTGTGGTTTTGATTTTTAGTTAACTTTTTATTGAAATATAAATTATATACACCAAACCGCGTAAGTCATGAGTATACAGATGGATGGAGTTTCACAAAGTGGGCACACGTGTAACCAGTGTTCAGGCCCAGACCCTCCAACACGCTGGAGGCCCCAAGTGCCCCTCCCACTCAGAACCACCCCCAAGGCTGATACCTGGCTTCTATGACCAGAGAAGACTTGAGCCTGGTTTCAAACATTGTGTGAATGGGCTTGTACACTGTGAATTTGCTGTAGACTGAAGGTTTGTGACCTCTCAAAATTTATGTGTTGAAAACTAATCCCTAATATGGTGGTGTTAGGAGATGGGGCCTTTGGGAGGTAATGAGGTCATGAGGGTGGAGCCCCAAGGATGGGATTAGTGTCCTTATAAAAGAGGCCCCAGAGAGCACCCTGGTCCCGTTCCTCCATGTGAGGACACAGCAGGAAGACTGAACCAGGAAGGGAGCCTCACCAGACACTGAATCTGCTGGTGTTTGACCTTGGACTTCTCAGCCTCCAGAGCTCTGAGACAGATGTTTCTGTTGTTTATAAGACACCCAGCCTATGATACTCTGTTACAGCAGCTCAAACACAGGCCTCAGCATGTGAATTTTGGAGGGACACAGACCATAGCATTCTGCCCCCGGGTCCCCCAAATTCATGTCCTCACCTGCAAATACATTCCTTTCCATCCCAACAGCCCTAAAGTCTTGACTCAATCCAGCACCAGCTCCGAAGTCCAAAGTCTCCTCTAAATCTCATCAAAACCAGATATATGTGAGACTTGAGGTAGGATTCATCCAGAGGTGACTCATGGAACCACATGAGTTTGTGCTTCTAAAACATAGTGACAGGACAGACACAGGACAGACACTCCCACTCTGAAAGGGGAACTTGGAAGGAATAAAAAGGTGGTGAGTCCCAGGCATGTCCAAAACCTAGCAAGGCAAGTTCCATCAGTATTTAGGTCTGGACAATAATCCTCTTTGGTTTGATGCTCTTCCCTCCAAGCCCACTGGGTGGCAGTGACCCTTCCGCTTGGGCCACCCAAGGAGCTCTCTGTGAGGGCCCCACTCTTGAGGCCCTGGACTGGGTCATCCTGGTGCCCTGAAACCGAAGAGGCACCGCCCCCATCCCTGCCCTGTGAAGAGGAAGCAGCCTCACCTCCTGGGCCTGTGGGGGCAGTGGCAGCCGCTGGGGTCAGTCTTCCCTTTCCTTGAAGGATAATCGTGTTCGCAGTTGAACAGCTCTGTGCTGTCGAATCCAATGCTCGGTGCCTTTTTTTGCTCCTCCTGCTTTAATATTTGTTCTTTGTCTTTGATTTCAGCATTTTTATTACATTGTCATGGAGCTTCTTGAATCTGTGGGTTGATATTGTTTGTCAGTCTTAGAAAATTCTGGGTCATTCTTGCTGTACATGTTGTTTCTGCCCTACTTTCTCTCTTCTGTGTATTAGGTTCCTTTACACATTTGTTGGAAACTACTCACTGTGCCCCACGTGACTCACAGGCATCCTGGCGACTTTCTACCAACCTGCTGTCCAGCTCACTCACCCATCCTGTCTTTCACTGTGTTGGATCTTGAGCTCCTGGGCCCTTCCCTGGTGTCGGCCATGGGGGGAGTGTGGGTCCTCTTCCAGCATCCGGGAGAGCCAAGCAGATGGTCCAGACGGGCCATCACCCTAGGGGGATATCCAGACCTGAGCGAGCAGGCAGGACTCCTCTTGGGGCCGCTGAGTAGGAGGCACCCTTGGATATTCTCTCATATTTTATCAGAGAATAAAAAATGAGAGAATATTCTCCACTTGTTTTATTGAACCAATATAAATGTACCAAAAGTATACAACGACATTGTGGAAAAAATAATTATAGGTGAATACCAGCAAGTTAAAATCAGTGATATGTAAAAATAAAATATCATCAACAGGTATATTTGAATTCCAGGACTAGAAGACTGAATCAACATTTAAATATAAACTACTCAAATGCAGTGGGGAAGTAAATTGCCCACATGAGTAGGAAAGGAGTAAAAATCATGTAATTTTTAAAAATGTAAAAATGATAAAATTCGAAACACATTCATAATAAAAAATTATTAGCAAAGTAGGAATAGAAGAGAGATTTCTTAATCTGATAAAATTCAGAGGAATCCTGCAGCGGACATAGTTTTCACAGGGGTTAATTAAACTTTAACTATATTTTTCTATTACCTTTTGAATAGAGCCCAGAGGCAGAATAAAAAAACCCCACACTTTTCAATACTGTGTCTTTTCTTTCAAAACACGTTTATGGCAATGTATCCTTCTATTGAGAGGAAGGCTGGGTGGTGACCATGCCATCACTATTAATTCCCTTTTATTAGAGAGCATTCTCATCTTGGCACGGGAGGAGTTGAGGCAGGAAATTCTACTGGCATTTTTCAGCATCACCAAAGGACACATGGCTGGGTAGCAAGAGGACAGAAATCCAATGATGCTCTCTAGCAACATGTTACTTTCAGATTTTAAGGACAAGTAAGTGGTAAGGCAGCCAAGAAAAGAAGACAAAGCAGCTTACGAGCAGAATGGTGTTGGTGGCTTTGGTTTCAGGAGATGGCCTGGGAGAAAGGTTGTTGCCATGAAGATTCTGAATTGTCTTGTGGTGATTGTAGAGGAGCATCACCATGCAGCCACTGGTCCAGACCGTGAGGTTGATGCAGAGGAAAACCTGGATGAGCATGGCACTCTGAAATACTGCTGACTCCCTGTAATCCCCTCGCTTTGTTTTACATTAAACCGGAGAATAGCCGGGTTGAGCAGCTGAGGCATTGGTGACGGTCTCATTGTTTGTGATGATCCAGATGCAGATGAGCATGTTGATGACCCAGAAAAAGAGGAATGAAGGCAAAACGCATGTGGAGGTTTGGGGTTTGAGCCACGCCCACTTAGAGTTTCCGGGGCTAATTTTGATGGCCTGAAAAGTGTTCAAGATAGAAATTGTGCAGAGAGAAATGCCTTGAGTCACGCTAGGAATGTACAACAATGATTTACAGCCAATATCACCCATTATAGGCCAAATTCCAAAAGATGACATTGCATCTTGAATGCCCCTGAACATAATGGTCATGATATTAGCTAGGGTTAGGTGCATGAGAATCGTATCTGTGGGCTTCTTCTGGTGTGGATGAATTTTTTAAATGCACATGTATAATATTAATACGAACAGGTTTCCCAGATTCCCAATGCCAACTTGAGAGATGAAGAAAATTTCCAAAATGGTAACAGTTGAATATCTAATTCTTAGAAATTTTGTACAACAGTCTAAAGAGGACCACACCTCTGTTATATGAATAAAAATTGGCAATAGTTGAGCCCCAGGAAGAAAATATCAATGTAATGATTCTGTCTCATAGGAAGAGATTTCTCAGCTACTCAGAATTCCAACCATGAGTCGTGTTTCAGGAGTCTGAAAGCAGGGAATTGATAAGGTCTCTACAGTAAAGAATCCAGGGCTCAGAGGAGGTGAGCTTCCTGTTTTATCCCTATTAATTTAAGCTTTCTCTTGGGAAATTCTAGGCCTTTCCCAAAGGTCAAATTTGCAATTGGCAATTGACAATTTTTCTCCTAAACATTAGAGTTAAGTTCAACTATACTCTTGTATTTTTAAGTAGTCTGGCTAAAATATCCCTGAGAGCCATTACCTATTGATTTTTTAGGACAATTTCTGTGTTTTTTTAAAATTTATTTCAGTATCTGATTTATTAGATTCATGGAATATTAAGGATAGAATTGATGGTTGCTACTGTGATAAAGTTACTTGATGAGCTTATTTATGTAAATTGTTTTGAATTTGTGTATCTAAAATCTTTCTCATCAACAATATTCTTCTCATTCAATAAAATAGTGAGTTCTCTCTTATTGGCACTTACCTTTCATTTGGCTGTGCAGCATCACCCAAGTGTTTCTATTCCAATCGAATGTTTTTCAGAGCAAAGCTACTTAAAGAGCTTTTCTAACATACAAGGACCAAGCCTACTTCTTTAGCTATAATGCTTCCTTTAACACCCTTTCCCATTTTCTTCACTATAATTTTTACCATCTAGGAATATAATCTTATATTAATGCAGGATCTAGTATGTAAGACATTCGATATCACAGATCTCATTTTCCTCACTTGGTTATATAAACTTTGCATTGTTATCTTTATTTTGCAGGTAATGCAACTGAATTTCAAGAAACAAACACCTGTGTCTACATTAACTGTGCGTGTGGTTGCTGGTATTGTTACTTGAACCCAGATTCATCTAATTTCAAATCTTCACTGATGAGCTGGGGGATAAATACATTGTCCTAATCAATATTCAATGTTCAATGTTCAATGCTCGTTTCACAATATCTTTGTGATGTTTGATTGCTGTTTTTAATGAAAAACTCTGTTATCACTGCTTCGATTGCATGACATTTTCCTATAGCTATTTTAAAAAATTTCCAAAGACTTTTGCTAGCATTGTATGCATACAGTTCCATTTCTGCCCTAACATTTAATTATGTAGGGCTCCAACCTCACTTTTACTTTACTGTCATGCATTCTTCCCTCCACCCGCCTATTAGTCTATGACCCAAACACTACTTGTAGTTGATCTATAACCCAGACCACTCTCTTGAGTTCCAGAATAACAGACAGTGGCCACAAAGGTCTTCCCAATCTCTCCTGCCTATGTTCTTCCTCTCCTAATATTCTTTTCTTGATCAGTAAAATTGATTGAGTTGCAGAAAATTCTATTATTGGACAGTAACCAGGTCAACACATGGACGGTAGAGGTATCATGTGCACCTAAAACTCTGAGGGATCCATTCCACTCAGATTA